GACAATATCAAGCGAAAACGGTCGTGGTCGAAGGCCGGTGAATCGTCCCAAACAGTGGCTAAGCCGGGATTGACGGCCAGGAAGGTTTTGCTGTGTATTTGGTGGGATTGGATCCACTATGAGCTGCTCCCATATGGTCAGACGCTAAATTCTACCATCTACTGCGAATAACTGGACCGCTTGAAGCAGGCGATCGACCAGAAACGTCCAGAATTGGCCAAGAGGAACGCCAGACTACACACTTCGTTGATGACTCGTCAGAAGCTACGGGAGCTCGGATGGGAGGTTTTATCGCATCCACCATATAGCCCGGATGTAGCTGTAGTGGCTGTCCGAATTCTTCGCAAATAAGGAGGGGGGATTCTACGAGGAAGGTATTATGAAGTTGCCGCCTAGATGGAAACAGATCATCGAACAAAACGACGCATATTTTAACTAAATCCGATCACTGTAAAACTTTTTATAAAGCATTGAATGAAGAGCAAAAAAGCGGAAGGAGACAACTTTATAAAATACTTATATGTATCTTAATAATATATAAAAACTCAAATAATTTGAAGAAAGTGAGGTCAATTTGTGCAAAAAGCTTCTGCTCATTCGTCATATTAAATCTGCTCGATTGATGTTTGCGGAGTTTGAGACACCATCGGCTATAGAAGACAAGACAATGTAGCTGCTGGCGGAAGCTCATCGGGACTTTTCAAAAATATTTTCCAGTAAAAGATATGTGTTTAAATAAATTTATTATTACACCTACACATAGGCGTTATATATATATTGTGTAGCTATATTTTTCATGTCTCAACAGCTGTGCAATAAATTATTTTCCAACATCTGTGAGGAAATACCATAATTAAAGCTGCCAAGTTTTGGTAAAGTCATACCAAATTACAATACCTATAAGAAATTATTGTAAATAAGAATTAATACCATTTTTGCACTAGGTTAGACTGCGCTGCATTGGCGACTTACAAAGATCCACTGGTGCTTGAAAGATGAAGGACCATTTTGTTGCCATCTAAAGTAATCATCGCATAGAATGTCAGCGCTTTTAACAAAGTGCAATCAAGCCCTAATATCCAATTTTGAATTCTCCGCCAGTCGTTTGAAGTGCGAAACTCCAAGTTATATAATACAAGTTCACGCTACGGCCATACAGAAGCAGTGGAGGTGCTCTCACCTCTCACTGATGCCTACCTTTCTGCACTTCTTGCATGTGTCCCTGCTACTAATGCACATTTGGACTGTCTGTACAGTGTTCGCCTTACAGTCTCCTCCTCCACTTGATATTAACAGCCTTACTTGTTCCTCATTTCTCGAACTTGTTTTCTGACCCCACAAAGAATGTGTTGTCGCCTTATTCTCTGCAGCTCTTTTGTGGTCTTCTGTTATTGTATGTTTCAGAGCTTGCCCTCACTTGGTTCACATCTCATATTGCCTTGCTTCTGAGCGTTCATTGGCGTGTTGTTGCATGTTGTGCAATGTTTTGTTGTCTAATATTCATTTTTCTATATCATTTTATCAAGCTGTTGTCATAGACCCCAATGTGTTTTGAGTACTTAGAGAAATGATGCAGTGTACAAAATGTGGAAAAGAGTGTCTAATAAATTTTACAGAAAATTAATGACTCATTCCAGAACTTTTTTTCGATCTATTGACTTATCATATGCCACGCAATGAGGTGCAATTATAGAGAATGCCAAGTGATCTGCTCAGTAGGGACTATAAATGTCCGAAAAAGGAAGTATTACTAAATCAAAATAGATAAAAAAATATGAATAGTATGGCCGTTTCTACCTGAACTCAATGAAGGGCGAATGAAAGCTGATGCTCTCGGGTTGGAGCTGTCAATACTGCTCTTTCTAAAATCAGTGGGACTGTCTGCGAAAAACGGACTCACAAATAGCACCTAGAAATCTCAATTCCAACTTACTGTAGCCATAAATCCATGTCCAACAGATGCTATCTAACATGCTCCTGTATCAATTGGCTATATACATTTTTATTCGGAAAGTTGCGACAAGTTCTGTTATTAGATTTTTGAAATGTTGCTGTTTTAACCAAAAACAATTTGGAAATACTGGAATACTGTAATAAATATATTAACTAACAATGAATTAACTCTTACCTAGCTCCTCTAAGTAAGTCAAATTATGTCCTCTTTGATGGGAAAAATTTGCTTAGATCGATCGTGAGTTTTGCCCCAAATATCAGTGCCAGTCAAGTTTATACGGCAAAAAAAAAAAAAAAAATAAAAAATAAAAAATAAATAAATAAATAAAAAATTGTTAAAAATTGTTTAACTTTTTATAAAAATTTTGAAAAAAATATATTTTAAAAATATCTATGACATTTCTTTTACGCCAACACACTGTAGCCAAACTTAATATTGTCCATTTCCTTTCAACACCTCCACGCCATGCTGAGCAATTAGTACAATTTCATTCGGTTGGCCTGCTGCTACGTGTCGTGTCTGGCAAGCTTGGACGATTTGTTTTCTGGCGTGTGTTTCTCAACTCATCGCCACTTCTGGGCACCCTCGTCCTTTTTGAAAGGAATTGTTATCATATACTTATAGGATATGTATGTATGGTTTCTTACAAAGTCCTGGTCACGTGTGCGTTGTTGGTTTTGTTTACATTGCGCATTAAAGGATTTCATTGCTTCTGTTGGCGAAACCAATGTAAGACAATGTGAGGAAAAAGGAAAAAAAAGTCTCAACTGTTGTAAATTGCTGAGTTTAATAAGTAAACTTGGGACTTGGGATGCTTGAGACTTTATCTTTTAGAAATAGTTACGTTTCCCAGTACATACTATTCTTCAAAATATCATTTACAAAATAATACTTGCCTTGCACCGGAGTGGATGTTCTCTACTGCTTCCAGCAGCGGGTATTACATCAAAAATTTTTCAATCTGAAAAGATTCTCACGCAGCTCAGTGCTCCATCGTCTGCGGAATTAACAGTCGTCCATCTCTGCAAAAATCCAAACCTATTCCATACTAGTTACATAACAGTCTGTTGTATTGCTTACGAATGGGTAAGCAAGAAGACGAAAAATCAATCAAATACATCACCAGAGGTGCTTCAATTGGAAATGGAACTATTTAAATACCATTTGTGGATCAAGCTTATTGCTAGTAGTAGATTCCTTGCTGTTCTAATAATAATTTTTAATTCTGCTACTCTATCAATTTCACCAAAAATATATTGAAAACTCATTTACATTCACTTATCATATTTACTGTCTTGTTGCTGATGGATCACTGTTTACTTGATTTATATATCATAATTTTTTGTTTTATTGCACTCCTTCCCCTTCGCTCAAGCTATCAGTAAGAATAAGGAGCTCAATTGCTGAAATACTCTCAAATAACTAATTGAGTACCTGTGTAAACAATGTTTATTCTTTGTACGTAATTTGTTCTTACTTTCCCCACAACCTAGGCGAAATTTTCTTGAACTAAATATTCGCTTTCAACTCGCGTCACATTTTTCCACGTGACACAATGATTGAGTTGATATGAGAAAATTGTCATTCAGTTTGTAAGAAAAATTAATAATATAGCGACGTGAACTATTTTTCTACTAAAGTTTATCTTTAACTTTATTTTGCAAATGCATAAATGCAATTTTAACCTACAAAATGAGAAATGCTATAATATTGGAAAAAATATAAGATAAATTTGTAGTTGCACTTAAAAAAAAATGATTTAATCGAAATATTGTGTTCATGATATTTGATCATACTTGATAATGATTGACAGCCGCTTATGGGGTTTTCATACAGGCAAAAAAAAAACCATAAAAAGGCCTTGATACCGATGTGTGTAAAGTTTAGTTTTATATTAAGATTGCGTTTCATGTATGTGTCGCATTCAATGTGGGAAAACATTAAGTGAAATAAAATAAAAAAACTACTAAAAATTAAATAAACAACACTAAAATAAAATATTAAATAAACTAAAATAAAATAACATAAAATATAACTCACTATAGTTATATAAACATTTTCAGGGAAAACAAAATAAAATATAATTAAATGAAATTAGATAAAAAAAAAACCTAGAATAACAAAAAAATTAAACTTAAATAAATAAATATATAATAAATTAAAATAAAATAACATAAAATAAAATAAAATAAAATAAAATAAAATAAAATAAAATAAAATAAAATAAAATAAAATAAAATAAAATAAAATAAAATAAAATAAAATAAAATAACCAAACTAAATTAAAATAAAATAAAAAAGTATAATAAGATAAATTATTTAAATTGAAATAAATTAAAATAAAAGTAAAATATATTAAAATTAAAATATATATTGGTATGTGATGAGTTTTCTGAATTCGTGAAACAGTGACGGTGATGGAGGTTGTGTGATGCATTTAAAACTGTCGAACTTAACTTTTTTTTAATCTTTAATAAGAACTAAAAAATGCGGAAGAAGTTGGAAAATTCCGAATTTTTTCGAAGTTTGAAAAAAATAACTTCTTTAAAAAACTAAAAAAAAACCGCTTCAAGCTGCAAAAAAATTAATAAGCTGTATAACTCATAAGAAGAATTCTACTTTTTATGTCCAGATTTTTGGGGTAGTTTATTAAATAAATCTTAAAACCCCCTTATTGCTGCCAAAGAGTAGTTAGTAGACCAATAACAAAGTAACTCGTAGGTTTATAACGAGACTGAGATTAGCAGGCATACACAGGGAGGACTCTGACTAATTTATTTGTTATGACGACAACCAGTAAGCAATATTTAAACTGGTGGAAGACTATCACTGGCAACAGAACAATGTATTTGGTAAATATTTTCATGAAATTGGTAGCTCTCACGAAATATTTCTTCACAACCATTCGCGGAATATTAATATTCTCAACTCCTCTGCACAAAATGGTCATATCTAAATCCACACAAGAAGTGTATGCGCACAAGCCAAAGGGTCATGACAAATTCCTTGTTTCGATTGAAGAAGTTTTGGGGGGCGACTAGAAAGAGGTTAAAGAGTGGGAATACCAGAAAAGGAAGTGAATGTGAGGTACCAGTAAAAGTAAAGGAAAAGTGATTTAGATGAAGTGAATGAATATTTACGAGGTTAACGCGAAGAAAGTGGCTGGCAGGCGGTATGTAAGCACGAAGACCGGCAACAGGCAGAAAGGACACATTAACATATGACGGGTGTCAGCGGAGTCATTTGGAAGACGTTGAGGAAAGCATGCAGCCATGTATATTTAGCTGTATGTAGGTGGGTAATCACAGACCTCTAAGAAACTAAAAGTATTGTTAACTTGAAAGGGCTGACAGTGAAACAACAAGAAAATATGCAGAAAATAATGTTTCCCGAACTCAAAGGGATGCCTGCCACAACAACAGCTGAAAAGCACATAAGTAACAGATAAAGAACCTCGAACTCCACCTGCCTTACAGCCTAATTCTTTCCCTTCAATTTTTATTCCTTCGTAACTAACGGGCGCACGCGTGAGTCATTGTCGTCACACCTTACCACTTCAACTCAAACTGTAGCCCTGAAATCAGCTGAAATGGAAGCAATAAGGAAAAGAGAAGAGAAAACCCTTGGAAAAATCAACAAATATGGCGAATATTAGCCAGAAATGGGTAAAAGTTTCATTTATGAAAAAAATTACAGCAACCAAAACAACAACATGAACAAGTACAACAGCGTTGCATGCGCACCCACCGAGTTTTCGAAAATCCGATATAGTTATATGCCACACCTAACCCCGACTGTAAGAGGTCGCCTGCAGTGAGTAATATGGCAGTGGTCTAACAGAAAATAACTGAAAACCATTTTCAATGAAGCCAACGAAAACTCTGAACTTTCAGTTATTTCGGAAGAAGGGACTATGTTTAGTGGCAATATCGATGCGAGAAGAAATTCAGCTTCAGCCTGAACTCAGTGCTGACTTTTTACCTGGTAGCTGGTCGCACCTATGGTAATACAACACCGATGAATCTATAAAGTGGAGGTCGCTATACACTATTTTGTCCGCAAAGAGGTCATGTTCTTCTTAGTTATGGCAAAGAACAAATACTCGCGCCTAGTCATCCTCCAATAAGTATGAACTTTTGAAGTTCTTCTTCTCCTTTACATACTCCTAGACCTAACCTGTTACGTCTTTTTTTTAGGTACTAGATAAATAAAACTGTGGAAGGCGTGATAATTTCTGGACTGCTGATGCTTGCAGCGTGTCTGCGAGACTAAAGATTCATGGCAACAGCAGCTACCCAAGAAAACATAGAGTGCAGTTGCCGGCTGCAGGCAGAGGACTGACCAGCAGACGAACTAGCGCAGGCATAGACGTGTCTGCTGAGAGAACTTTTCATTTCATTAAAGTGTCAAACAGACTCACTTATGTTTAGATACTCCACTTCTTCTGCTTTGAACAGAGCTGTAGCTTTATAAGAACCAATTGACATGCATTTTGCAGTCGTCTCGCAAGTTCGCTGTTTACCTGCTCGCTTATGAATTTCTCTGCAATCTCCGACATACCAAAACAAACAATGCTCTCTCTTGTCATTTCAGCTTGAATGCCGGACCGCTCTCTGAAAATAATAAAAACGAAAACACGCCGTTTTCGTAGAGACCGGCGCTGCAGAGAGCGCATGTGCCCACCTTCGAGAGAGCTGTTTACTATGTCAGCGCGGAAATTTCCTGAGTTGAGTGGATATCTATAAGACGTCGCACGACGGACGGTATCACTGACCACGTTAACTTTCGTTAAGTAAACAATTTTTGCAAAGCTAAAACAACATTTTTGTTAACTGTAATTCTACCTTGCCGCCTAACAGCCTGTGGTCGTTTTTAGTCGTATTTCAACGTTCGCGTTTAACGGTAGACTATAACGCTGGTGCTTAAAGTTGGCAGCAAGAAGTGTTCGACGTGATAAGAATCGAAAAACAGCAAAACACATAGCAAAGGGAAACGAAAAATTTGTGGTCTGAAACAGTTCCATAAAAATTAAAAAATCGTAAGCAAAAGACTTGTGAATAAGTGAAAACGCAAGTAAAAAAGGATAAGCTTGTAAAAAATGTCGACATCTCAGTATTAATTAAAAAATTAAAATTTGTTGCGAAATTGTAAAGCGCGCTGCTTTAGCGGCTTAGTAAAAACACAAGCAGATACAAATTACAATTAAATGACGCAAAAAATTTAATCCTCTTTAGCGCTCTCTACGCGTGTACCAGATTGTGAAAATAAAGTATAAAATACAGCTAGCCGACATAATTGCCACAGTTGAAAGCACACACTGCTACAACGCGCCTAGCCGTAATCTGAGCTTGCGTTTGCGTTTAAGTTTTTTCCAGCACAACCTGACATAACGAAGTGGACAGCCAATAGTCCCGTGCGACTGTCACGCTTTGTTATTAATGAGTTTTCAAGAAACAAGCTCTCATGCATAATGCGCGGCAAAGCGTTGCTATTTAATGCGCTTGGATCGCCTGCTTGACGCGAATGCGCTATTTATACCTCATTAAGGTGTGATAAAGCATCGTTATTTTCATTTTTTGGCCGAAGTCTTTTAACATCCTGCAAACAGTTATTAACGCATTGCACGCCAACTCTGGTGGATAATGAAAGGAATAGAGGGGCGTTGAACAATATGAAATACAATACCGCCGCGTCGCGCGCTCAAATCGAAATGTTTCTCAGCTACTATGTCAACGTACATACCTGCTTGCAGTCAGCGCTGGTCACACAGAAAGCGTGCGCTCAAATCCGGAGTGTGATTGGTAGTGCAAATAAAGGTATGGCAAAATCACAGAAGTCAATGTGTTTAAAAGCAAGTGAAAAAAAATACCCCAGGTGACAATTATAATGACTGCATTGAAAAACATTTATTAAGTGCAACTCAGAGCACGGCGCGTATTCAAGCCATAGCTTTCATGCGCGCAACTATTACTATACAATGCATTGCTACATTACTCACCTCAGAAAGCTTCACAAGTACCCTTTGTGTCGAGGTAAATTTATATCGCGCTTCAAACAAACCACCTTATATCTGCGCTGATGCTTAGAGAGACTGTTTTTGTCGCAAGTCTAAGGTAAGTCCTTTTTAACTCAATTATGCCAAATGATTAAACACTGAGTTTTACACTTTACATAAATAAAATTGAAATTATAGAAGAAAGTTCTGGGAAAATAGACAAGAAGCTTGAATTGCTCGAGTTCGAGAAATTCCGAGCAATGAGACACACAAATAGACCCGCATCGCAATTTACATTTCGGGATCATGAAATGATATTAAATATCAATTACCCAAAACTGCTTTATTGGTTTTCATATATACACTCTTGTCGGCGTTTGAACAAATTTCCGAATCACTTTTGCCACTCCGACCATACATCCATGCATCCCGCACGCATAAGCTTCCTCTTAATATGTCGAAAAATGTCTTTCATTGTACCAATTAAATAATAATAAAACGAATAAAATAAAAGAAAATAATCTAAACTAACAAAAAAAAATAAATTAAAATAAAATAAAATAAAATAAAATAAAATAAAATAAAATAAAATAAAATAAGTTAAATTAATCGAAATTTTTATAATTATTTCTATACCTTTTGGATATTGGAGCCGCCTAAATTATTAAGGAGATTGAAAAAATTTAAGATCCAAATAAATGTATTGTAGCCAAGACCTTAATATAGACTACACATTCAACCACTCATCTTTATTTAAGTTAACCAGAAACGCTCTGTTACTTCTTTTCTTTTAATCGCCTTTATTCCTTCATTCTTTAATTCAAATAATGAAATAGAACCATTTTATTTATGCCTTGTCATATCGTCATAATTAAAATACAATCTTATAGCTGTTTGCGCTCAGGGAGCGCTGTCGGTTGGATGTTTCGTTTCTATGCTGCAGAGAGTCAAGAGAGTTGATTAATGCGCTTTAGTGAACCTAATGTCCATGCAACACATATACATGAATAACATATGCGTTTCGTATTAAACATTTGGTATAAGCAAAATTTCAGAGAATCCTTACATAACTCAAGCTCGTTTGCTCGAGCACACAGTTACGCATTCCTTTACATACGTGTTTAGTATTCTATATACATATATAGATAAACCTTGCTGAATATTCATCAATTCACAAAATAATAAAATAAAAGTTTTCTTCGGAAAGATCGGCAAAAAATAACATACAAGCATTTCTATGCAAATGTATACGTGTGTGTGTAGCTATATTTACAAAGTTGGGTATATTTTCGTGCAAATAAAGTTAGTTTTTATTTTCAAATTTTATTTATTCGATTTATATTTTATTCAGACTGAAAAATTCATTGAAATTAATTTAAAGTTAGTACGAATTTATTTAACTTTAGAATGTGACAAGCTCAGCTTAGTTCTAATCCAATATTCATTTTTAAGAATATGTTTTTCACTTGAATTTTAAATGAAACGCATATCCATAGATATAAATGAAATATTTAAGAGTTGTGAGTGGACTTGAGAAAACAAAAGTAAAAATCTAAATATTGTTTTGGTGCAGATTCCTTACTTCCATGCACTCACTCAGCTGAGTGTAAGGGGGAAGATGAAAAAGTTATTCAAAGACACACTAAGCCCATTCAATGGGACTTACAAGGTCACAAGCGAAGAATATGAATAATCAAAATGGGCTATGCACAAAAAAATCAATTTAAAAAATGCAATAATAATATTTTTACATTTTTCATTGAATACTTTACAGAATAAGAATACTATATGATGCCAATATACCTTGACGTATGTATCATTAACCAGAAATACCTAATCTAAAGGACTTTGTCTTGCGTTGGCGAAACGATAATAGAATATATATTTATGTAATTAAGCATGTATATTCCTAAGCATGCTGAAACGTCAGTAAATGTATTCAAGTTGACGTATAAACACAAAAACAATGTCAACAATAACATTTTGACAAAACCCCTTCTATGGACACTTCAAAATAAGGCGGTTTATTTATTTTGCCCAACACAAATTTGCCATTATGACACAATAAGACAGGCACTCAGTTTTCACTTTCCTATCTTTTGCTACGATTACCCATCAGGAAGTAGTCGAGCAAACCATTGCGATCAAACGCGCGTTCATCTATGTCTGTATAGCAGCTCACAATAGTTTCTCTTACAGCTTTGTTTTTGTATACAATTTTTGTTGTTTTAATCTCAGCTTTTGCTAAGAGAAATACATAATATGAAATATATTTAAATTTTTATGGAAGCCTAAGTGGGTTTTTGTATTCAAAGCTCATCTGCCATGAGAATTATTAGATAATTGAGGAATTTAAATCCCAAGTGAAACATTTTGAAAATTTTAGACATTTAATTCATTTTTTTCCACTCTTTACATGTAAAAAAAAATATGTAATAAAATTTAATAAAACTGCATACAAAATATATAATAAATATTATGATCTTATCATAAGTGTTAAGCTGTTCTTCTGAAAATCCAATTGATATTGCGCACCTTAATTCTATTTAATGTTGCTTCCCTCAAATACCACAAAACCTATTAGATATTTCCAAGTCGCAAATCTCATAAATACTCTGCACTTTAGCCATTGACAAAACTTCTAGAAAATGCACACCTCACATACCCGAAAACTGCTTCGTATTTCTCAAAATTCTTCAGTTACTGCAAACCTTATTAAGGTCACATGTATAATGCTCAACTGTCATACCCAAAATCTTCAAATAACGGCTCATTTCTTATATTTACATATACCACAAAATCAGCTCACAAAATTACTGGGCTCGAAACCCGCTCTCTACTCATTTGAATTGGGTTTATTTTAATCTTTACAACTGATCCCTTAAAAAGGTGAAAAGTAAGTTACAGAAAGTTCTTCAAAACAAAAAAAATATATTGCATGCGAGGTTTCTCTTTTGAAAAGTACTCAGTATCGAAGATGAAATTTACAACTTTTGTATAAATATAACGTGATTTATTTCCCTACCATTTTCTTTTATAGTTCATGGTTATCCTTGAGCCTTGAAATTCTAAAAATCCCCATAAAAGATGTATCCAAATTCTAATAATAGCATCGCTCCATCAATGCTTATATGGCTGCGAACATGAGCGCGGTCAATAGCAGTTTTCTCATTTCCAATTTTAAAATTTTAAAACTAAAATTATTATGCAAAGGAAAGGCTGTATAAATAACCGACAGCGAATACACGTTCAGGCGTAATCATAGAACATAACTACTTATAATAACAAACAGTTATACTCTCGTACAGCTAACGTCTCTACCAGGCCTCTCCACCCACACGCTACTTTCACGTTATAGAGTTGAAAGTTCAAATTTCATTTTAATAACAAACGCTATAAATTTCATATAATGGCTCATTGTTCCTCTGACCGTATGACGCCGCTCTCAATTTCGCAAACACATCGTCGCATGTGTCGTTCGCTATGTACGGTTATGTCCCATGGCAGTTGACTGTTAACCCATCATAAACTACTCCCGGAAGTGCAATGGCTGCTCTATATATTTGCATGCTGCGGTCATTCGCAGTGAAATATAAAAACTTAAAAATTATAGGAATCTCAGCTGACCCGACACATTTTACCATGACGACAAAAAATGGCGGTAAATCAGTATTGAGTAAGCGTAATTTAGTGTGTTTCTCTTCTATGCATAGATTTGCTTACGAATACCTGAAATAAACAAAAATATTCTTTTTTTCATTCTCTCATTTCTCATGTCCTCACTCATTTACTGATCCCCTAGTTTGATGTCCATATTCAGTTGTTTATCCATTCCTTCTTGCTCCTATTCATCGCATTCACATTTATGTTAATGACGACCGATGTAAGGTGAAGTCTCGGCAGGAGCTCAATGATTTCTTCCTCTCTCACATTTTTTTCGTGTAAATAAAGAAATTTGAAAGTTCCCCCACAATGACAATTATGTCTCTCAGTTATTCCGTTTCTTTCTTTTTTCGATTTACATTGCAAGCCCTGCATTTTTCGTAAAATAATCTTAATGAAAATTTAAATATTTATTATGTGCACAAACTTAATGAGTCATCACATGGGGAGAAAGCTGATCCATATTTGCTGAGGGGGAAAACTTTCATTTGAATATTCTCAAATTTATATATAATTCAATCTTCTGGTGATTTTATAATTTATTTTATGAAATTTATAATTCATTGTGATGGCTGCGAGTACAGCCGTACGGAAGACTAGTGTTCGGGTTCTATTCCGACCAACATCCAAATTTTCATCTGCCGCTCAATCGTAGCAAAATCGACCCATATTTGAATCCAAAGGTAACTGTGGATGACAAGTGGATCACTAACAGCAACGCCAAAGAATACGTTCGTGATTATAAGGCAGTGAGTCCGTACAAATGGTCTGCAAGCCAGGATTGTTGGCCTGGAGGGTTTTGCTGTGTGTTTCTTGGGATTGACAACGAGCTACTCCTCCACTGCCAAACTCTTAACTCTGTCAGAAATGGAACAGTCTGAACGAAGCATATGCACAGAAGGAGGGATATTGTTTTTAATCAGGACAACACCGATAGTCACTCGCCAAAATCTCCGAAGGTTCTTAAGTAAATTGATTCTATGATATCTATGATTCTTCCAATTTTTTTGAGCAAAGGAGCAAAGGCTTCTATGAGGGAGGCATAATGACATTACCATAAAAATGGCAAGCAAATACATTACAAGTGTTAACATCTTCCTCTTTACTGGCGTGAACCGTCTGTCTCTGCTTCCAGCGGCGAGTTCTGCATTAAAAACTTTCAAAGCCATCGGCTGGATTGTTCCTCGTTCGCAACTCGTAGAGAACCGTAAATCTTATGCAAAACTTCTTCCTCGAAAACTCCTAACACTGGCTCATGTGATGTTGCCCTCGTTCATGCTTCCGCACCACATAGCAAGATGGGAACGATGAGGGACTTATAGAGTTGTGTTTTCGTTCGTCGACAGAGGACTTTGCCTTCTATTGCCTACTAAGTCCACCTGTTGGCAAGAGTGATTCTGGCGTTTGATTTTCAGGTTGACATTGTTGTTGGTATTAATGCTGGTCCCAGATAGA